AGGCTATCGAGCGAGAGAACTCCCACTCCGATGGCCGCCACGAGGTCTCGCCTCTGCTCAACCCACGCCGGGCACTCTGCCAGCGTGTGGAGAGCCGTGTCCACGGTCTGGCCATCGCAGTGGTGGCACTCAGGCGTTGGCTCCTTGCGGATCAGACACAGGTGATCCCCGAAACATCCTTTTCCAGTGATCACCTGCGTCAGTCGGTATGAGAGGGTCCCGTGACGCCTCTCGAGCCAATCCTCCATAACGGGTCTTACCGCCGCAATGCTTTTCCTTCAATGTTCCTTCCACACCCCTATGATGACCTGGCGGAGTTGGGATTTCCGGTCATCGATTTCTGAGTCTCGGGACACCGACCCAACTCCCGCGTCTCCTTGCGCCACTTATACAGAGCCGCAAGGGCTCTCGCCTCCAGGTCCCACGGTGGAGTTCCGGCCAGGAGACTCGCCGTCTATCCAAAATAACATCAAAACTGCACCTGACAAAATTTATTTCCTTATGCCAAAAGATAGAGGTATAAGGATAAAGTGGTGCAAGGTGATAAGAAGATACAATGTAACGTGGTTTAGCTGTTTATACTGACTGTTGTGAAAATATTTTTTACTTAGTTACCTGCACTTAATTTTTTGCACAAACTTCGACGAAATTATAACCTAGTTTACGAAAAGTTCGTAAAGATTTATTTATTTATTAGTTTTATCCTCTCACTACACCTTTCATTACTTAATTGTATTCTTAAGAATTATATAAGTATGTATGTATATAATAAGCAACAAAACAATGTTCGGCTGGTACTTCTAATAATTATATTCTCAATATCTAATACATAGGTATTTATCCACAAGAGCCTATGCTTGTCTATAATAGAAAACATATACCTACCTAAGTTATTAGAGTAAGAGGGAAGTTCTAAACTTTTTTAATTTACCTTTCTAATTTTATTTCTGGGTTTCAGGTTGAAAATAATTATATGTATTAAACACTTTATGATCATCATAAACACGTCTATTTTAGCAAGATCATCTGACTGTGCTTTGGCAAAACCGGTTTCAGACATTGTGTTAAGACTTTCTTCATAAGGATTTAATACTTTAACACAGAAAACTAATAACGTAATATGGAAAAACCGCGACACAATACAACAACAACTTGTTCACAGAAGACGTCGAGTGAAATCTGACGTCACGTTTTGTTCCACCAATAGCGTTGCATTTTAGAAATTTGCGAGAGAATTTTTAAAAAGACACTTTTTGATGATTAAATTTTACTATTAAAGTATGATAAATTTTAGAAACAATTGTGAAGGTATCTTTAATAGCAATAAAGTTTACAAATAAAAATATTTTGTCCATTTTGGAGTCTTGTGCATATTCCCTATTGTTTTTCATATCCTTCCATACAAAAATGCTCGGTAATACCTACATACAATATCCACACTTATATTTTTATAAAACAGTTTTGATTTTGTTAACAGTATTTGATTTAATGTATTAATATATTTATTAAATTTAAGGTATTTACTGTCAAAAAAGCTGTTCCTTTAGTTTATTATCGCCGTTGGTTGTATTTTCTTTTAAAATTGTAAATAAGTCCCTAAATATAGTTTTCATGCCGTAGTCCTTTAGCGCGTGATAGCATTATTATATTACGGCACGTTTTTATGGCTTTGGCTGAAATACCTACCGAAAGTTCACCTTTTAAGAGTATGAATTTGCGTCTTCCCACGGGTTCACTCGTACAGTAGAGTGACTAAATCAACATAATTAGAAATAATTTAGAATCTTTTTGAATCTTTCACTTCACTTAATCAGTCGATATCACATCAAATTTGCAATCATTCATAAATAAATATGTATATAAATCACGTGATGTATATTTTATATCAAATATTCTCACCGATCCATTGTGACGCGATTAGCTAACTTTAAGTAACCTAAAATATGCTTTTTCTTTTATTATTACTAGTGAGGTTAGAATAGAGGTCGAATAACATTCCCAGGCGTTGGCAGACCTCCGTGGGGCCTGTACACGTGCCCGGAGGTCCTAGTCGGCGGCGCCACCACGGAGTACAGCTTCATGAGGAGTACCGAGAGGCGTGGTAAACTCTGAAGCTAGACAAGAGGCGGCACACCTAGCCACCAGGGGAGTGATTGCCACCATGGAGGCGCTCCAGCCGGTCATCATCGAATGGGCAGGGCGGCAGCACGGGACCCTTTCCTTCCGAATGACGCAGGTCCTTTCCGGGCACGGCTGCTTCGGGAAGTACCTGCACTCTGTCGCTAGGAGGGTTCCGGATGTGTTAATAACAGCAGTTCCCGGATCCCGGCGGATACAGGCGCAGAGCGGTACACCGTGTGGTTTTAGTCGGTCCGAGTCCGACACACCACCCAGCCGTAAACCTCGGTGGGGTGACGGCCCGAGGGGGTTTCCACACGTAAAAAAAGGGTTCTAATAATATATTTAGTTCACTGTTGTGGATCCTATCGACACAACTTCTCTTTTTGGTTTAAGCTCTTGTTTTGCAAGTTCCAGGTATTCAGGTATAGAATTGATTAATTTCAGTAGGTCAAGTGCGCTTATACTCTGCAGTATCTTGGTAGGTGGACGGACCTGGTTGAAAGAACAGTAAACGAAGGTTGAAAAGATTACAAGTTTTATTTTTAAGTAGCGGTTGTGACTAGTCGTGCCGCCTCAAGAGTAGAATAATGAAGCGGGAGCTGACCAAACCGTGTCCCTTAATTCATTCGGATCGTTCAATGCGGTTAGTTTTATCACATCTAATGTTATTACGTACAAGGTTCATTGTTCCACTGTATGTATTATTTCACGAGTATAATTTATAGTACCTAGTATTTTATAATATCTCATATTATACCGGAATCTCATATTATTACATTAAAATTGTCACTAGTATAACTTAGTTTTTCAAATTAAGTTTGTAATCATTTATTTTTAAACTTTCAGTGCTCTTTTGACAGTGCTATTGACGTCTGTTTAACTTTCTTAAATTGTTAATGTAGTTCGTAATTTTGAAATGTTCTTCTTTGTTTCAATGCTTCATAATATGTACCTTAAAAAAACCTACATAAGTATTTATTATTGGTTTCGATAATATGAACTGGACCCATCATCAAATTACAAGATTCATATTTTTTGTCAGGTGCAGCTCAGGTGAATCGTTAGATGTCATAAAAAAAACCCAACATTTTTACCGTACTTAATTAAAATTCTACATTTAGCACTTTTAGGTATCCTGTATTAAAGTCAAATGGTATTTAAGCAAAGATTTGATTTAAAATTGCAGTTTATTAAATAGCTTTGATTCGTGAACACGTCGCAACCCAACAGGTACGCAGTTTTCAAATTTATTTTATCGCCTCTCTTTGTTACTCTAGCGTCGCATACACTTTGGGTAATTGAATTTTCTAAAGTTCTTAATGCTAAAATATTTGTTTAAATAGCTATCAACATCAGTGAATCATGGTGTTTAATATTGATCGAGATGAACACTAACAAACTGTATTGACATATTAATCTTCCCTTGCCATTAATATATTTTAATTAACACTACAGATTTGTTTGGAATAACCAAACATTTCATAGTTACTAGGATGGAGAGTAGATACGTCATGGAGACCAGGTGGTAACAGTTCATACTACGTACCATAGCACAGAGCATCCGCCGGTGGCATGTGTTGCTCTATGTACCATAGTAGTGTTAACCACATGTATTCTTACCTGTCAATATTAATATAAAGAATACTGGACCCTTTAAGGCAAAAAGTAAACAATGCAGTAAAACATTCATCCGCAATCGAACGTTCGCTCGTGTATGCAACAGAATATACATACATATTTCTCATGCGGTAGTTCTCTTTAAAAAAATAAGTAAGTAAGTGAGTACTAAACTAAAGAAACTAATTACTAAACTAAAGAAACTAAGTACTAAACTAAAGTGAGAACAACGTTGGTGTCTAACAAAACTGGATCGTGCAGAAGTAATGTACTATATTAGCAGAGATTTGGAGGTCATCAAGAATTGGTTCTGATTATTTAAGAGGGAATCCCATGATAAGTAGACTGGGCCCATCTATACTGCCGGCTGTCATCTACTACGGTTTTATTTCATCGACGAATCGTTTTCATTAGAAGTAAAGAACCTTAATGCATTTTTGACCAATTAGTCATCCCTTTAATGGGATGAAAAGGGGGGTGGAAGTTAGTATGGGGAATCTATAACTGAACTGATTTAGATGAAATTTAGTATGGAAATAGTTTGATTTTTGAGGAAGGACATAGGCTACTTTTAATGGCGTTAACTAAACTCAAAAAGTTCTGCACCAATTGAGCTCAAATTTTGACACAATATACAAACTGCTTTACAGATGGTTTTTATCTCAGTATGTATCGTCAGTTTTGTTCTTCATTTCTCAGTAATGCAACCACAATGTGTATAATGTACAGCTGGTTTAATACAATAAAGTATTAATTACATAATAATGTAATTACTACATTGTTGTATTAAATCATCATTACAAAGTTTCAAGTTTATAGTATAGTATATACTATAATAAATATAAGTATATACTATAGTAAATTAAATAATTTTAAAATCAACTGCAAAAACCAAAATATAACATATTTTTTGATGTCATGTTTTGTGAGTCATGCCAACGCAAGATAAGTAATCTGTTAATCGTTTCTAAAAAGGCGTCGTCAGACGTCCCTGTAATAATCACGATTTGCCTTCAAGCCGAGAGAAGATACACAATGAATCGGATCAAAGTTACTCGTCTTTCCTGTTATCGTTTGCTTATGAATTATCCTAATATATGAACTAACATTTAATATTTTACAGTGCCCACATGAAATCCACTGTTCTAATCTGCGTATTGTATGTCGCCGGCCTGGCTCTGGCGCGGCCCGGCGATGAACACTACACTTCCCGTTATGACAATGTAGATGTAGCCGAAACCTTGAACAATGAAAAGTTGTACATGACCTTCCTCAAATGTATCCTCGGACTTGGCAAATGCACCGCTGAAGGAAGAGAGCTTAAAAGTTAGTATTATCTTTATGCTCTTAGTTTAAGTAAGTTAAATAGTTAATTGTGTCTTGTCAATTATCAATATTATTTGGTTCGTTTCATATTGACAGGCCTGTTGGTCAAGTGGTTAGTTGACTGCACGGATGGCTAAGTGGTTCGATCCCCACATGGGACACCACTTCGTGGGATCCACAAATTGCTGTTCAGGAGGTTCTTTGAGTCAGTTTCATGTATGTTTGTAAAGTCCCCCGATACACAGGATATATATTCCTAATGCGGGTGTTGTCTTTAAAAAAACAGAAAAACAAGAAAAGAAAATTCTGACTGCTAAGCTATCGTAGGGTCGACTCCCACCCAGGACAAATATTTTGCCATTGGCACGATCGTTTTTTTCTGTCTGCTTGAAATTTATGTTTAATATGTAAGTATTTAGAAATTTAATAGTATTTTTTTAAGCAGTCTGGTTACCATAGCACAGGTTTGCGTAATTTGGGATCAGATGGCCGTGTGTAAGATGTGTGTGATAATAGGTTACTATTATTAATATATTTTGTGATATATTTTACATAAAGGTTTTATATGACTCTATCAACATGTTTTTTTATTTAGGCCACATAACAGATGCTCTCGAAAATGAGTGCGCTAAATGTACTGAAAAACAGAAGGATGGTGTTAAATATGTTATGAAACATATGATCAAATACAAGGTGGACGACTGGAAAAAGTTGACAGACAAGTACGATCCTGAAAACAAATACAGGACAAAGTATGAAAACCAACTGCGTGAGGTCGAGGCTTAACTGGACGTAATACAGTTTCGACTCCCTCAATGTTGAACTGGACTTATTTGCAGTAAACGATTATTTATTTCTCTCCTTCTGACAAACATGGGATAATTACTATATATTTTTGAATAAAATTTGAAAGTTTTTTTTTTTGTTTTGCAAAATGACCTGGCACTATATTCAGTCTATATATGTGTAAAAGAAGAAAACTGATTCACTGACAGATCGATCAACGCACAGCACGCACAGATTTTTTTTACAAATGTTCCTTATGTGTCGTAGGTAAGAAAGGATTTTCTTAAATTCCACCCCTAACGGTGTAAAATAGGGATTGGCAATTTATATGAAAGTTCATCATTTTTGGAAGTAGGGTTTTCTAACTCACCGCAAGTAAGTATAAGTTTTGCATGTCGAATATACTTATAATCATGATTCATTGTATCCTCTACGATGTCTGATGTCGATCACCACGCGGACGAAGCCGCGAGCAAAAGCTAGTATATACAAGTATATAAAAATGTTAATTACTTAAAGTAATTTAGGTGGTTATATAACTTTTGATCCTAAATCATCCAATTGGAGTTTTCACGTACATCGATTTTATCTCAAGACACACTCGGCGACGACCCTCAAGAGTATCTTGCCTGGTCCTCCGATCCTTCATTGACTCACTGAATTTTCGTTTTAAATAAAAAAAAACTACATAAAAATACTGAATGTTATAGTAACGTATACTATAACTGCGTCGAAATAATTATATAGGAAAAAGAAAGACTGGTTCCTGGACTAGACCAGTTAGCAAAAAAAAACCTATCTAATGACAGAATCTCCATATTTAATCAGGCAACTAGTTCCACAACTGACTTATTCTAAGAAGCGATAGGTCATCGATGTCTTAAACGTTAACGAAAATCTACTGTGTCTGTTTGAATCGTCGATCAATGATGATCATTTATTAGATGTCGATGTTCAAATTTACTAGTGCGTTCATTCAAAGGTCTTTACTAGACCTGAATGAATTTCTAAAGATACCTTTATATGTTTAATGAAGGAAATGGAATTAATAATAACGAAAGACGGCTAGAAATTTATATAAAATTTTAAGGATAATCATTAAAGTAACCGAACTTATTCCATTACTTTTAAACTTAGCCCTTTTCGGGAAATACCATGCTGTTGTTATGAATAAACAAAGAAATTAATGTAAGACGGTATAGGTATCCATTCTGTTGTCTCGCTAAACTTATGTCTAAAATTATATTAGGATTTGTTTTAGATAAGTTGTTTAGTTGCGGCTTAAACAAATTTACCATGATTAGACTTCATTAAGACACCATGACATTTGATTGTGACTTTACTACGGGTAGCGACTGTGTTAAGATTATAATACTATGTTGTTACTGTAGTGAGGTCTTACTATATATTTTTTAATTCTTTTTTTATATACCATTTGAATGTTTTTAGCACTATAAATTTTAATGTACACAATTACAACGTTATAATACTAGTTTGAAAACATGAATGTATTCACAAACAGTTCATCACTATAAATTAAAGATTTACACAACAGTTGTTTAATACAGTACGTCATAGATTTTTAAATACCCACTTAAATCCATTAATTTAACCCGTCCCTGATCGCGTCCGGTGGAAATTTACCCATCGCGTTTGATGCATTGCCGCGTTGAATGGCAATGGCGCGCGGGAATCACTATTGACTTCTGTGTGTCTCGGCCTAGTTCCTTTATTTACCTCAGGGAATGAAAATGAAACTTAGTCTAAAGTCACTTTATTGCTAATCCACAATTTCAATATTTCCTGTAAATAAGTGTTTGTGCCAATTTCACTGTTGGCTCCCACTTCCATCTTCCATCAACAGATGAATGGAATCTTGGGATCAGAAGTCCCATTTAGATCCCAATTAAGTTTATCCACATAGAGTAACGAATTAATGAATTTAAATGGCCGTGAGCAGGATACGTAACACGCTGAAATGCATTGAGTTGCGGGATGGAGTAGAAAAGGTGTCAAATACTAAACGCAAACTAAAAGCATTTAAGATGAATACGATACCAGGCTGTCGGATGACGTTGCAGTGGGAATCCTGTGATAAATAAATGAAATATATTCAAAACCAAACTAATTAATTTTAGTCAGGTTTAGACAGTTTGCGCCACAAGAATCGGCATCATTCTTGGGCTCCTATACTTTTTTGGCTGATGATGTAACGAGCTATAATAACAAGCGTTTTTTGCAATAATTTGTGACGCACGTACTCGTAATACACTTTGTTAAACATAATCCGTGAAGATAGCTTTTATTATAAAATACCTTATTATTTTATGAAGTGCATCATAAAATTCACCATGAATAAGCTATAAGAAACAGTTTTTCGATCTTTTATGCTTTTATAAATGCTTGTCTACGAGGGATATTAGAACAGTACAGAGTAATTATTTTGTTAAAGCAAATCGTAATCTAACGGGTTCAAACTACGCAGGACAACAGCATTGCAAAGAGAAAAAAAACTTGAAACAAACCCTATACCAACCCGAATGGCCAGCGCGGTACAGTAGGCGAAAATATCCTTTCTAAGAAGAGGCCTATGTCCAGCAATGGACTGTTAAAGGCTGTTGATGATGATGATGAAATTGAAATCTTGATGAATTTTCATTTTTTTATGTATTTTACCTAATTACACGATAAATAGTGGAAGCGATATGATATTTTTTATTTTCTAAAATATTTTCTTTCTTTTTTTCATCACTTTCATCATTTTCATTAATTATCACCCGCTCAGGATCTGATAATGAGATCCTAGAAAAATCGACGAAACACTTTAACCAAGTGAGTAAGTTTACCGATGCCCAAAACTCCCCCTTCCCCAGATTAAAAGATCACATTTTACAATTTATATTCGATACTATGCATTTGTTTAAGTGCCAGGAGTATGCCTCAACAATTAGCGCCTCAATAGCGAGCAAAAGCAACAGAGATATGGTCTTTGCAACTTTGATAACTCTGATTAGACAACTCAACAGTAAGCAATACAAAATTAAAATCTGTTGTAAATAATAGGGTATATTCAACTGATTTTTGTGCATGTTAAAACCCAACCTTAGTTATTATTCTACTACTTCAATTCAATTCTTCATACTCATAAAAAAAACATAAAAAATAGATGATTGATGAAATTTTTATTATTAAACCAGCTATTGCCTGCGGCTTCACTCTCGTGATTGTTTCTAATTTTGTGTTTCTAACTTTAATAAATCCTTTGTTTTAGAAATCGAACTGACTTCGAACAATACTAACAAAGAAAAAACCAAAATAAGTTCGACCCTCAACATAAAAGGCAACATTATGGTAGCATACCTTCTAGTCTGTTTGAAGTCGGTGCCAAGTCAAATAAGTACTAAGTGGCGGCGCGGCTGTGTGGATCCTTATGCTGCGCCAAACATGCTAAACGAGCCTAATTGGGTTACACATAATCTCAAATGATATTATTACTTAAAATGCATTATTAAGTAGTTGATAAGTTTGCGTAGGTGATTCTTCAGGTTGGCCGTTATTAATTAACAAAATCTGCGATGTTTCCTTAGAATTAAATTGAATTCTTAATTCTTTATGACATGACTGACATAAAGCTGACATATGTTGGACCCACAGCAATACTTATTGTGCATCGTACTTAACGCAAGTGTGCGCATTAAAAACAAATAAGAATGTATAATACGATTTCGACTTCCGATTTTCGACTAAAACAAAACAAAAGAAAGTATTTACTTCTTCACATTTGAATGGATCCAAAGGGGAAATATACCCTTTCAAATGAAAGGGATTTTTCAAAATCGGTTTACAAATTAAAGAGTTTTGAGGTAACAAACATGAAATAATTACGTAACATAGTTTTTTTTTGTCTGAATGTTTTGTTTTCTTATTTATTACTTTCTTGTGTATGAGGATAGCTCTTTCAATAATTTAATAATCATGTATTGGTTATAGAAATATGAGTTCTCTGTAACTTTATAAATATCTTAAAATAATAAAACAAGGTCAATACATGATTATTATATTATTGAAAGAGCTAACCTCTTACTCCTAAAGGTCAAGGACCCTTCCATTATCTGTATAACTGGTTAGATCCTGGATCCTAGATGGTGGTAATGGTACGAATACGGGAGTATATCAATTTCGATTACAAAAATCCACACAACGGTCCACAATTGACAGAGATATCGCATAACAAACATACTAAAAAAAACATATAGGCAAATTGAGAACCTCCTCTTCTGTGTTATTGAAGTCGGCGAAAAGTTCAAAAAGGAAATCATTTTATCGTAAGAATCGTAATAGCAAAAGACACTGCCGTATTTTTAGGTATGGAAAAAACCCTTAATCCTGAAGATGCTGATTAGGATATTCGGCCAAATTAATCAAATAACGAGATATAGATAAATATAAGAAGTTTTAATTTCATTCGACGTTTTGAAGTGGGTCAAAATCATTAATCAAAGGTTTCGGTTTCGGCCAAATTGGCCGTAACTTTCGGACGCATAGAATCTCTGTATTAGTAAAGTGTCGTACATCGTTCGGTTAACTTCGCGGCTAACTCGTGGAGACTGGTCTGGTTCAGTTTACCGCCGTCTAGTGCCATCTTTTTTATGGTGTTTGGAGGCAAGCGAGCAGACTATATATAGTAGTAATAGTAGAGTATATATTAAGTGACAGATAAAAGAGATTACATTCGATTCAGATATTACTTAGGTCGTGTTACAGAGCGTTTCTCAAAACTCAAGAAACGCTTGAGCGTAGTTTTTTAAGGTGAAAACCAACCTGAAGCGTTTCTGGAGTTTTGAGTATCATTTTGTAATACGTCCCTTAGCTTTATTTGTTTGTAGATAATAATTGTTGTTGAATGACATTCTGTACCCCTGTTTTAACATTGTTAACCACCCAAAAAACGTATACTACGTATGATCTTCAGTTGCCTAACTTTAACAATGAGAAAACGC